TCTGTTGGCGACTACTCATTCCCCCTTCCGTTCCCCCCTGAAAACCATGTGATCTCTACAAAATTCTCTAACCCCACCCCTCAGGTGATAAATAATGACTGCTTCCTTAACAACAAATGATACACATACTTCCGCCAGGTTGCGCAAATGTGACAATTTTTCTATTTTTTTTTTTTTTTTTCCCTGCTTAAGCTGTCAGCTTTTCGACTTAAAAAGTTTCTCTTAACAAAACATCAAAGAGGAGATAGCTTTTGTAAATTCGCTCTGCACCCGTAAGCTACATCAGCAGAGTATTTTGAGTATTCATCTAAGCCACTGCTTTATTGTTGAGAAAGTAGCAAGAAGGAAAAAAAGTTTTCAAAATAAGAAACTACAAAGTTTCATGCGTTGACCAAAATCAAAACCGAGTGAGCCTGGGTAGGACGGGTAAAGAAGCACACGGATCAGAAATTCACGAACGTTGACGAAGCTCTTCAAAACATTGCCGACCGAAAATAATTAAGAAAATCTGCATAATTAATCATATAAAATCAATATGACACCTGCTCACTGAACATTAAAAAACACCAAGAATATGGATAAAATACGGAAGAGTTGAAAACAATTCTGATTGACGCTGCAACATTTGTCATCAGAAACATCATACGACGGGAAAAGCCCTTTTAAACCAATAGAAACTGTTCAGATCGAAAACACTGCGATACGACTCCTATATTGAAAAGCTAACGTCTGTAAATGGTCCAGTTGCTGCCAAGAGAGGGTAAGACAGGGCCACACGTTTGAAAGTAAGCACCAATGGCCAACTTTACCAGCGTATCATCACAATTACCAACTGGCGTCGTGAGATCGCTCTTAACGTTTAACATTACCCTCTCCTTCACTGCATCTCTAGGCAACGTTCTGATCCTTTGGACACTTTATAAAGTTTCCTCTCTGCATTCTGTAACAAAGTTCCTGTTTGAATGTCTGGCCACTACCGACCTTTGTGTGGGTCTTTTTTCACAGCCCCTCTTCGTTGCTGTTTTAATACTTCACATTGATCTTAGCAACACCAACTTGGATATTTTGTTTTACGTGGAGGAAATTCTTTATATCTCCAGCTATGTGTTGTGTGGAGTGTCTGTGTTGACATCAACAGCCATCAGTGTCGACAGACTTCTTGTCCTGTTGTTGAGGCTGCGATACACACAGATTGTGACACTGAGGCGAGCTCAAGCTGTTTTACTTATATGCTGGGTGCTAGCTGTTTCATGCGGATTGGTTCGTGTATGGAGTCTAACGGTTTCAGAGATTGTTGTTTTTGTCGCCGGATTAGCATCTTTAATCACTTCCGTGTTTTGCTACGTAAAGATCCACCTGATACTACTGCGGAATCGGGCTGAGGTAGAAGACAGCTTAGGGGGAAGACAGTCAAACAAAAGAGAAGTGGGAACAAGAGCAACAACGGGGGCAAGAAGAGTCGCAGAGGAAGAAGAAGAAGAAAAAGAAGAAGAAGAAAAAGAAGCAGGAGCGAAACTAGATGGAGTTGGAGTAACAACGGGGGCAGGAAGGGCCGTAGAAGAAGAAGAGGAGGAAGAAGAAGCAAGAGCGGAAGAAAATAGAGTTGGAGTAACAACGGGGGCAGGAAAAGCCGTCAAAGAAGAAGAAGAGGAAGAAAAAGAAGAAGCAGGAGCGAGAGAGATTGGAGTAGGGAAAACAAGGAGGACAGGAAGAACCGCAGAACAAGAAGAAGAAAAAGAAGAAAAAGAAGCAGGAAGTACTGTAAAAGCAACAGAAAAAAGCAGTGAAGAAACACGGAAAGCCATCAACGTATCACCAAAGCGAAGAACACAACAAGGAGTTCGACTGAATATCGTACAATATAAGAAAATAGTTTCCAGTATATTCTGGCTGCAATTGACTTTGGTGGCTTGCTATGCTCCTTTCATAATTGTGTCATTATTGAGATATAAAGTGCTCAGTGGAACAACAATTGATGCCCTTTGGCTGTTTACGGCAACTTTAATTTACCTAAATGCGTCTCTGAATCCCTTTCTTTACTGCTGGAAAATCAGAGAGGTGAGAATGACGTTAAAGAACATAGCCAAGGCGTTTTGCTGTCGTTTGTAATTCAAGGTCGCCCGTATTTATGTGAAGTCCTCCGTGTCCTTAAACACCAGGAATCTCACGTAACTTGTTCATATTTGAACAACAATTCAGTAGAATATATTCTATACAGGGCTAAAAGATTAAGAAAAAATTAAAATGTTTGAACCAAACGTTTTCGGCTGTTTGCCATCATCAGGGTTGAAAATAATGACCGTCTGCATATACATCTATATCTTATGTATTTCTATATATGTATGTGCAGACGGTCATTATTTATTCAACTCTGATGATGGCAAACAGCCAAAAAAACGTTTGGTTCAAACATTTTAATTTTTTCTTAATCTTTCAGCCTGGTAAAGAATATAGTTTACTCAGCGAACATTATGGACACCAATTCAGTAGAACTTATTAGTTAAACAGCCTAGCCTGTCACGAGTCTTATATATCTCAATGGTAAGGCATCCGAAGTCCTAATCGGAAGGTTGTTGTTGTTGTTTTTTTCCTCCTTCGAGTATGCCTGTGTCATTCACTGTATAATGTCATCTTTCACTTAAATAACAGGCTTCAAATTAATTAACCATTTCCACTCCAACAATTCAGAACTTATTAGTTAAACAGTCTAGCCTGTCACGAGTCTCATATATCTCAATGGTAAGGCATCCGAAGTCTTAATCGAAAGGTCATCGTTTTTTTTCCTCCTTCGCGTATGCCTGTGTCACTCACTGTATAATGTCATCTTTCACTTAAATAACAAGCTTCAAATTAATTAACCATTTCCACTCCAACAATTCGATATCACAACAGACTGGGGAATAATTGAATACTGACAAACTACTACCCCCGCAGAGCTGAAAACTCAAAAACGATGTAAATAGCAGTAGCACTTTTTTCCTCTTTCACTTTTCTTTCGAGGAAGTGAAAAGACCTAAAATCCATGAGCTTTGATCATTCGCCAAAACATACTTGCAGTAATTGATTAAAATTGTTGTTTTTTCTACTTGTTTTGACCAGTTTTCTAAGGTGTATTTGAATATTGCACGTGATGAAACCAAACATTTCCGTTAGGTAAGATGTTTTTGCTCGATATACCCTGCCCTCGCTTATGTTGCCCTAATGACGGGCCAATGGACTGAATAAACCGTTTTCTGTGAAGTTTAAAACAACAATTTCATCTGAAACCCTTCCAGAGTTTAGGTCGGTCCCATCCAAATTTACGCGCCCCTAAATCCCGAGGCAAGCGGTGTTCTCAATCAAGAAACTGCTGATTTCTTGCCCCTAAATTTACTGGCATCATCTCAATACTACGACATCTTCCTCCATACATCTTCTGTGAACCAATGCCTTTACTTTCATTTTCTCTTCATCTACAGCCGACTTTGCCCCAGAATCAAGAGGAAAAACCCCCAGATGGTTATATCTAATCTTCATTTTAAAATGCCGTGTCATGCTTGACTCAAAAGTTGCGGAAGCCACAAAAATGACGATTAAGTAATTATCTCTCTTATATTTCGTTCACGGTAAATTCGAGCGGACTAAACAACGAGCACCAATTAAACTTCAAGTGCTCTGAAATATTTGCTGTATAATGAAAACCCTGGCATTCGTTTCAGCCTCTGTCACAGTCCAAGTGTGGAAAACAACTTGATTTTTTTTCCACAACCAGTTCACATCTGCTTCCAATAACAAAGCACAAATGTTTACTGATTTACTGATGTATCATAAATAAATTATGCGCACGAGCTACTGTAGGTCATTTTGGGATTAAAAAAGTCTTCCATTGCTTTTCTAAAATATTTCTCGGAAAGCACAGAAAGTATAAGGTCAAAACCGTGTTTGCATAAATCATCTGAACACACCTATCGACCAATGAGAGTGCGCGTACTATCTTTATATTTTCAAAATTGTCCTATTGCTCTTAAAGTGTCATTTGCGTGAATCATAAATTCTGCGATACACAATAGTTTTGTAAGTGGGGCCCAGAAAAAGTGAAAAACATCAATGGAATGTTCTCCTTCACTGCATCTCTAGGCAACGTTCTGATCCTTTGGACACTTTATAAAGTTTCCTCTCTGCAGCCTGTGACAAAGCTCCTGTTTGAAAGTCTGGCCACTACCGACCTTTGTGTGGGTCTTTTTTCACAGCCCCTCTTCGTTGCTGTTTTAATACTTCACATTGATCTTAGCAACACCAACTTGGATATTTTGTGTAACGTGGAGAAAATTGTTTATATTTCCAGTTTTGTGTTGTGTGGAGTGTCTGGTTTGACATCGACAGTCATCAGTGTCGACAGACTTCTTGTCCTGTTCTTGAAGCTGCGATACAGACAGATTGTGACACTGAAGCGAGCTCAAGCTGTTATACTTTTATGCTGGGTGCTAGCTGTTTCATGCGGATTGGTTCGCGTCTGGAGTCAAACGGTTTCAGAGACTGCTGCTTTTGTCACTGGATTGGCATCTTTAGTCACTTCTGTGTTTTGCTACGTAAAGATCCACCTGAGACTACAGTGGAATCGGGCTGAAGTAGAAGACAGCACACGGGAAGGACAGCCAAACAAAGGAGAAGGAGTGGGAGAAAGAGCAACAACGGGGGCAGGGAGAATCGCAGAAGAAGAAGAAGAAGAAGAAGAAGCAGGACGAAGAGAAGATGGAGTACGACTAACAACGAAGGCAGGAAGAACCGCAAGGGAGGTAGAAGAAGGAGGTACTAGAGTAGGAGCAACAGAATAAAGTGGAGGAGCACGGGAAGCCAAAGTATCACCAAAGCGAAGAATACAAGAAAGAGTTCGACTGAATATCGCACAATATAAGAAAATAGTTTCCAGTATATTCTGGCTGCAAGTGACTTTAGTGGCATGCTATGCCCCTTTCATAATTGTGTCGTTATTGAGTTATACAGTGCTCAGCGGAACAACAATTCATGCCCTTAGGCTGTTTACGGCAACTTTAATTTATCTAAATTCATCTCTGAATCCCTTTCTTTACTGCTGGAAGATAAGAGAAGTAAGAATGATGGTAAAGAAGGTAGCCAAGGCGTTTTGCTGTCGTTTGCAATGCAAGACTGCCCGTATTCATGTGAAAAGTCCTTCGTGTCCTTAAACACCAGGAATCTCATGTAACTTTTTCACATTTAAAAAACAATTCAGTAGAACTTATTAGTTAAACAGTCTAGCCTGTCACGAGTCTTATATATCTCAATGGTAAGGCATCCGAAGTCTTAATCGAAAGGTCATCGTTTTTTTTTCCTCTTTCGAGTATGCATGGTTTTTTTTTCCTCTTTCGAGTATGCATCGTTTTTTTTTCCTCTTTCGAGTATGTCTGTGTCATGCCCAGAATAACGTCATCTCTACTTATATAACAGGGTTCAAATTAATTAACGATTTTAACTAGTACAATTCAATATCATAACAGACTGGGGAATAATTGAATAATGACAAACTACTGCCCCCGCAAAGCTGAAAACTCAAAAACGATGTAAATAGCAGTAGCACTTTTTTCCTCTTTCACTTTTCTTTCGAGGAAGTGAAAAGACAAAAAATCCACGAACCTTGATCATTCGCCAAAACATACTTGGAGTAATTGATTAAGATTATTGTTTTTTTCTACTTGTTTTGAACCAGTTTTCTAATGTGCATTTGAATATTGCACGTGAATAAACAAAACATTTCCGCTTGGTAAGAACATGTTTTTACTCGATATACCCTGCCCTCGCTTACTATGTTGCCCGAATGACGGGCGAATGGACTGAATAACCATTTTCAGCGAAGTTTAAAACAACAATTTCATCTGAAACCCTTCTAGAGTTTAGGTTGGTCCCATCCATATTTGCGTGTCCCTCAATCCCGAGGCAAGCGGTGTTCTCAATCAAGAAACTCTTGAGTGTTTATTCCTTGTCCCTAAATTTACTGTCATCATCTTAATACTGCGACATCTTCCTCCATACATATACTGTGAACCAATGCCTTTTCTTGCATTTTCTCTTCATCTACAGCCGACTTTGCCCCAGAATCACTGAGAAAAACCCCCAGATGGATATATCTAATCTTGATTTTAAAATACCGCGTCATGCTTGAAAATTAAATCGGACCACGTTGTACACTTCAGAAGTAGCGGAAGCCACAGAAATGACGGTTAAATAATTATTTCTCTTATATTTTGTTAATAGTTTAAATTCGAGAGGACTACAACGAGCGGCACCAGTTAAACTTCAAGTGCTCTTAAATATTTGCCCTATGATGAATACCCTGGCATTCGTTTCAGCCTCTGTCACAGTCCGAGTGTGGAAAACAACTTGATTTTTTTTCCACCACCAGTTCACATCAGCTTCCAATAACAAAGCGCAAATGTTTACTGATGTATCATAAATAAATTATGTGCACGAGCTCTGAAATATACCGTAAGCCATTTTGGGATTAAAACAAGTCCTCTCTTGCTTTTCTAAAATATTTCTCAGGAAGCACAGAAAGCGTGACGTCAGAACCATGTTTACTTACTCTCATTTGAACACACCTATCGACCAATGAGAGCGCACGTACTATCTTTATATTTTATAAATTGTCATATTGCTCTCAAAGTGTCATTTGCGTGAATAAAAAAAAATCTGCGATACACGACAGTTGTGTAAGTGGGGCCCAGAAAAAGTGAAAAACATCGACGGAATGTTTCACAATGCGCTGTTTGATGTCACATTTTCTCCTCATAAATCTCGCGGAACTCCAGCGAACCAACCTGAATTTTTTCAGGTCTGATTTTCACTATTGCTCAAATAGTGCTCTTTACTGCGATTGGGAGGATCGTGGAAAATACGTTTCAATAACCGCAGTTCAGATATATGAATTTCATATATTCGTTGTGTTTGATTAATCATCTTGCGGGTTTATGTCGGACTAATTTGATGACCCGCTCCCAGTTGGCTTGTTAGCTCAATTGGTAGAGCGCTGCACTAGTATCGCAGAGGTCAGTGGTTCGAAACCCATACAGGCCTGAATTTTTTCAGGTCTGATTTTCACTACTGCCTTAAATAGTACTCGTTACTGCGAGGATCGTGCACAATACGTTTCTATAACCGCAGTTCAGATCTATGAATGTCATATATTCGTTGTGTTTGAAACAGAGAAAGATAATAATAATAATATTAACAATGCTTAATTGAAAAATTAAATTATCATGTTAAATCTCCTGACGTTTTATATCGAGGAAGCACAAAACAGGTACTTCATCGTAAAATCGGAAGGTCTTGAGTCTGGATCCTTTTGATAACTAAGGACTAAAATGTTCGGTGGCTTTCTTAAAATAAATGACTATAAGAATACAGTGTACAACCAACAGGAAATTCAACCATTAATCTCCGACACCCACCTCATATATTACAACTTTGATAACTTCTCCATACTTGTTACACTCTTCCACGACTTCAGGTTGTAACTCTTCGTCCACTTCTCCAGGACCAACCATATTCTGAAATAAAGACGAACATTTTCAACTCCAAAAAAAGTTTTAAAAATTACGACACGCATAATTAGAGTCGAAAAGTAGGAAACCACAAAATGGAGCATTTTTCAACGGAGTGTCGAAAGTACTCTGGGATTGCTTTAGTTTTACCTAGCTTCGTTTTGTGATTGGTCTAGAAAACTCACGCCATCCTCTCGACCAATCAGATGCAAAAACAATTACGACCTGGTCTCTCACGATTTCCCGCGCTTCAAGGAGTCTTGTTTTCGCTCTGAGTTTTCATTGGCTAAAGATGATGTAAACCTTTCTTCTGATTGGTCGCTAAAATTTCCTTTGGTTTTGGTTTTTCGACACTCAATTGGAAACTTCTTCATAAGTTCGATTTTACAAAAAGACGGAAATTAAAAGAATTACTTAAAGGGACGGGACAGGGAAGAATGAAAAAGAAAAGCAAAGAAATACCGCTACTTACTCTCAAAACAACAACTTTACTTGGGTTCCTCATAACGCTGGTAACTGGTTCTGCTTCTTGCAGTGCAGCTTTTGATTCTGTTGATCAGAACGGCATTTTCTCTTTAGCTGAACATTTTTTTTTTAAATTTGGGAAAATTAATCGATTTGACAGTGTACTTAGAGCAATAGGCCATTGTAGAGTTCTGCGCTTGGTTGCCAAACCTTTGATTTGGAGTGAGGCTGAAGGTGACCTTCTTGTGATAGAGACCAGTATCTAGTTAGCATGACAACAACGTAATTTACTTTGGAAAAGCAGCAACGTCTGTATCATGACAAGGTCACCCTTAGCCTCACTCTAGTTCAAAGGCTTGGTAACTAAGCATGCAACTGTAAAATGGACTATTGGCGGGAAAACAACTGAGAACTGTGGTAGATGCGGTACAGATGGCGAGAAAATATCTGGAATACGCGATAGTAAAATGGCGGGAAAATACACTTTGCGTACAGAAAGTTCTCGGAATTGCATTCGTTTCACTTTTCTACAGTTTGTGATTGGTGTAGAAAAATCGCTCGAAGCTCCCAACCAATCGGAAGTTCGGCTATCAATAGTCGCAAATTGGTCACACGCGTTTTCCAGTAAATCAGACCGTCACGTGAATTTACCTAAGTTCTCATTGGCTCCTTTTGTTGCACACCTTTGAACTGATTGTCTGTCTCCTTAGTTCTTCGACACAAATTACTTAGTTCTTATTAACCGAGCGGGAGGTCTGTATGGGAGAATCTTGACCGAGGTCGCCAGTACAGACCGAACGCAGTGAGGTCTGTACCAGCGACCAAGGTCAAGATTCTCCCATACAGACCGACCTAGCTCGGTTGATAAGATGTCTATTATATGGCTGTGTCTTATATGCCAATTTTTTTATTTTCTTTGTACCTTTTTTTTATAGACCGGTCTAGATGCCAGTCTAGATGGGAGAGTCTAGACAGCTTTCAATATTGATTTCAGCCAATCAAATTCGTGAATTCGGCAGTTCCCAGTCCTTGTGAGACACAGCCATATAATAAAATAAAATAAAATACAAACCTTTGTCTTGGTTGATTATTTTTCCGCCTCGCTTGCTGGTTTTCTCCACTTGCAAACATGTGTTGATACCTTGCTCTTGCTTTCCTAAACCTGAAAATTACAAAAAAAAGGTGGACATAATCAATTTTCTACTTCAAAACCACTCTCAAATTTGAGTATATTGAGTCATGAATTCTTTTTTATCTTCCATACAGAATTGAACAATTTTTTTTTCAAGATTTACAAATTTTTCTATTTAAACTATCCTAAAAACTGCATGTTTTATCTGGTAAGAAAGTATCTACAGACAATTTTCTTGCTGTTTGGCTGTCTATTAAAATTGCAAAGACAATTTCACTATTGATAACTAACAAATCTTACTAAATGCAAAGGGTTTAAAACTCATCACTTTGTTTTCCAAATATTATTCTTTTCATCTCATTTCTAGGAGTTGTATGATG